ATTTGACGTGTCTTGCTTCAAATGCTGTTTACTTTTTTGCGGTTTGAGGAGGGTTTTTTATTTGAAATTAAAAGAAAAGTGGACAAATGGATCTAATGCAGATCATTTTGGATTCTTATTCGTCATCATCATCGTCGTATGACATGACGAACTTGAAGCAGTTACACCCAGCGTACAAAACTTTTGTGAAAACTTTATAAGAAAGAAGTGTGGTTATAGTTACTGACAAATGTTCTCTTCTCTTATCTTCTTTGTTCCCTAGTCTTGGGGTCAGGCTGTTCGAGTTTTGGCAAAATTCTGATAGTTTACGGACTGTTCATAACAGCTTGATAGACCTTCCCCTTTACGCATTTAGTCTTGCGCAGTTCCAGAACCGTTCTGTGATAGTACTGAATTTAGAACTCGAAAAAAGCTGTTGCACACGCGTTAAGGAATACCTCAGAACCGATTGCCGGGTGGCGGTAGAATTCCATCAACGGGCCACTTCAGGTCTATTTAACATTATTAACATTCAAAAAGAACGAGGTAGACAAAAACCAGTCGACCGAGGCGGTACCACCCGCTAGCTTTTACCAGGGTGTGCTATAAATGTCCGCATGTTTCCACGCCTAAGCTACGCAGCCGGGTATCTTCCCCAACACTGAAATTAAGTATGATAGATCCTTCGAGTACTAACAATCCTGGAGGTGAACTCACTCCACTCTCGGAATGCAATCCAATGATCCCAATATGCTTTTCAGAATCTCAGATTCTGCACCGATTAACCATCTTAGCTTCGCAAATTTAGAGGTGGACTCTAATGTGAGAAAGAACGAGGGAGTTGTGGTTTTTGTCCGCAGCAGTCTTTCCTGCTGCAGAACTGCTTCTCTGGAATCAACGCCGAAACATCCTCCAAATTTAACTGCTGCTCCCACGGACCATACCTGGGATGACCTACTTGAATACCTTGCAGTCAAGAACGACTTCTTAGTTATCCTCGGTGATTTCATCAATGCCCATAATGAACTTTGGTTGGACTCAAACAAGACCGATGTAACAAGTTGTGTAATTGAAGCGTTCGCTATTACCCAGCTGGTGACAAGCCTGCTGGATCTCCTTCTGACCATGCATCATGTCCTGCACTGCTATCCTATTGCCCTTGGTAACTCAGACCACGGTGGTGAGGTTAGGTTTCGACCGAAAGACGCTGTGGTAGCAGAAACTCGCCCAGGCCGGAAAGTTTGACATTACGGTCATGCCGACTGGGAGGGCTCAGGGATTTCTTCTCCACCTGTTTGGGGCGCTGCCGCCCCGACTACATTAGTTATGCTCGTTGCTGTCCAAAAGAAAAACAAATTTTGCATTCGCCATCGTTGAGTTTGATCTGCCTTTTTTCATCAAAATGTCGAATCTTTCAGAACAGCAATCCTGTAAGTTCTTCAGTTATACGATCATGGTACTGTTAAAAACCATCAAAATCACGTTTATAGCTCCAATGAGTGAAGGCAACGTACGAACTCAATCTCGGTGGGCTATCACCCTCGAGGTCGTGCAATACATAACAGGACTCTCGTATTTCCAAGTCCATATTCTCAGAGAGTATAATACAGCAATCCATCAGATCTTACTTGTTGCCTGGTTTTCGGCATGTAGAGGTCAACGGTACTGGTAGTACCGAACGCGAGGATCCGTCCGCGATAAACGACGCAACCTATACCGTAACTTTATAATTATGTATATTTAAAAATAATTACCAGAGTATCGACGTCAAATATCTCCGGATGAAAAATACTGCGACGAGGCATATTGGCCGCTTCTTACATAAGGATAATAACGGGCACTCCCCTTGCGAGTAAATGTCGATATGATCGATATGAAATATACCCGGTCATTCAGCAGGAGAGTATGTGCTGAAATGTACGACCATAGCCTATAGCTGAACTTTGTAGCTGAAAGGATAACATCCACTATATGCATGTCTTGTCTCATCATCACCTTAAGCCTAGGAATCTCGGAGATTGAGATACAAGAAAGACAAATGTTGGCATACATGGATGAACTTCTTACTTTAGTTATATCATTCTTTATTTCCATAGAAATGTAAATACAGTCACGGTGAACTGCCTGTCAATATTCTATGCGGTTTCTTGAGTATGAAAGGTTTTGTTTAACAGCTGAAAATGAAGCGCGGCTATTGAAAGAGGGGGGAGAGACGCGGAAGAATGATCGAAGACAGACACCTGTTCATCACTTCTTACCTCCTGCATAAAAATGTCCGCAGGATGCGTCGGTCGGTCGCCATTTTTAATCATCCTTGTTGTGCCGTTTTCCCGAGTCGACGTCCGATGCCGCCGCCGTTGCTAGCAGGGTTTGTGTGTGTGTTTGTTTAAAGGTGTAATTACTGCCGCAGCAGCGGTGAAGCGGAGATGGTAAGCAATTACCGCCGGTCTACCCCAATTAAAATAATGGACCGGTGCCATCGTCTATTAACGTTTCATCGAGGAGCGCTGCCACGCCGATAGCAGCCGGAAACCTTTTGCCAGGCTTCCATGTGGTTCTTTAAGGCGGTTCAGCAGTAGATACGGCCAATAAGTTCTAGGACGGCCTGGGGTGCCGACCTTGACGTCACACGACCTTGAAATAGCGTTACGTTGATACGTAACTGACCTACAAACTAGAAAGGCATTGATACGTGAATGACCTTGAAACGCAAATGATCTTGAATCGAAAATTACTTAGAATCGTGAACGACCTTGAACCGTAACTGCGGTTGAAGTGACGTGACCTTGAAATTGCAAATTGCCTTGACCTTGAAGTGTTGCGACCTTGAAAGTTTAAATGACCTTGACCTTGAAAACTTAGAATGTCTTGAATGGAGGTGACCTTGCAAGTCTATTGACCTTGCGTCTGCTCGGCCTTGAAGTTGTAAATGACCTTGACCATATTGAAAACGAGCTTGGGATTGTAAACGACGCGAATGATCTTGAATCGAGAATTACGTAGAATCGCGAATGACCTTGAATCGTAACTGCGGTTGAAGTGACGTGACCTTGAAATTGTAAATTGCCTTGACCTTGAAGTGTTGTGAGCTTGAAAGTATAAATGACCTTGACCTTGAAAACTTAGAATGCCTTGAATGGAGGTGACCTTGCAAGTCTATTGGCCTTGCGTCTGCTCGGCCTTGAAGTTGTAAATGACCTTGAACATATGAAAACGAGCTTGGGATTGTAAACGACTGTGGAGTTTGAAGGGGATAACATTAGAAATATACCTTTAAATATGTTTAGAGTTCGGAGATATCCGCTCAGTGTCTGCAAGCGTCGCTTTAGTGCTAATGAATAATAGGAAAAATATACAGGGTGACTTCGAAGTTGAGTCATTTATTTTAACAGTGAGTAGATCTGATCAAAAGAAATGTTTTTTTCCTTTACCATTTTTCTGGTAAAATTAAAGTAACAAAGTTATAGCCCTTTGGAAGTTTGAGTACCGCCCTGTCTCAATAATAATATTATGTGCTCGTGTTTGGCAACAACGGATATAATCCGCCTTATCGGTTCATCGCATCGGAAACAAAACAGCGAAAGAATTTGGAACGATGTTTTTACAATTATTTTATTCAGTTGTATACAGTCAGTGTCAGTCGGTAACGCGTGAGTGAATAGTGGTGTATGTTGCGTGGCTCAAACGAAATAAAAAATGGCACATGTTTACGAAAATGCTGAACTTGTGGACATGGTTCTTATTTACGGGGAGTCTTTACAAAATGCTGCCGCGGCATCACAGATTTGTGCGAATCGGTTTCCCAATCGAGTGCAACCAACCCCTCGTGCCTTTGTTAATGTAGTACAAAGGGCTCGTGAATCAGGTGACTTAAGACCTCACAGGCCGGTGCTCCAAGACCGCACGATCAAATACAGGGCCGCACTGAAATACTTGTCGGGAGGATACTTTATAAAACAAGGTAACATTTTTTTTTAATTTTTTTTTATTTTTACACACATATTTTGGTTTATCTTCCTTCTACAATCATTATCTGAAAATTAATGACTCAACTTCAAAGTCCTGTGACAAAGAGTGTGTATCAAGTTACTATACAGGGTGGCGCATCGAAAACGAAACTGACGCATTTACTGGCAGCTCAGTTTTTTTTTGGAAAAACGCTCAGACCCTTCGATTTCCTTTTCGAGGGGGACACAAGTTTGACAAAAAATCACGTTAACACATGCAGCCCCCTGGGCGGGGGTGTCACCAACCCTAAAATCTTAAATGGAAAGGGGGGTCGAGTGATACCTTATTTTAAAAGTCTTTGAATTCCCTTTATACAATGTAAAATACATGAGCTTCAGTTCAGTAGTTTCGAAGATTTATTGATTTAAAGCTTAAAGTAAAAGAGAACGATACTACTACATTACAAATATCAAGCTACACGATCCGTTTTTCCTTCCACATCAAATTCATTCCACTAAGACTTATTTTTCATCTTGTATGCAAGTAAAAGCTTTTTAGACAAAATGTTATTCCTCAAACCAAGAAATAGTCCAATCGTCTCTTGTAGCTCTTGGACGCCGCCTATATACGGGTATATCACTGAAGATTTTATATTTGCAGGACATCTGGGTTAGCTATATGGATAAATAACAGGACGCGTCAAGCCAACAAGTAATTTTCATAACGTCGTCTCTTAACTTACGGTGAACGGTCCAGATAGGTAAATTGCTTCCATCGAAAATACGAACCTCTAATGTCTGGTTACACCACCCACAGCTTATCTATTTCAAATCAGTGTTGACGCTAATGGCAGAGGCATGATCGCAAGATAGACATAATCTCCTAGCTCTAGAATGCCCTACAGAAAACACTTATGATATACACATAGCGTTTCCTTGTTACCAGCTCTGTGCTTTCTAGACAATTATTGTCTCGTTAGTACGTCATACGAATCGTTATTGTGATGTGAGATCGACGTTTCGAATTGATAGACATTTCAAAATATATATACGAGAAAGAATTCGTTACTACAGAAGGAGTAGGTTCGTCAAGGTGGAAGGCTCAGTCCCTATTGTTCATAATATTTATGGATGACCTGATAAAACGATGCAGGCAAACAATTTTTGTTGGATACAGGAAGTCGCAAAAGGTGGAACTAGAAGAAAGCGCATTTGCAGATGATTCGGTGTTGGTAACTGGTAGGCAGTATTAAAATTAGTGGCAAGATTTCTGAAGTAAAAACTACACAACATCGAAATTCTTATAGATGAGGGTCCTGAAGTATCTCTTTGCTGAGAATAAAAAATCGATTAAAGATGAACATTTGTGCTTATGTTATCGAAGTCGTCCGAATTCTGTAGTGGTCAGGAACTAAAAACTTATTCATATGTTTTTTTTTAGTTTCTATGAACATCATTATACACGGTGTTTCAGAAAGATGCGCCAATATTTTTAGGGTAGAAAATACATCTAAAATAACAAACAAGTTCTAATAAATATGGGTCCAAAGATGCTTCCCTATCGAGACACATGAAGTTTTATTTACAAAATCGACAAAGGTATCCGGCCTAGACTACCGTGCTAAGAAGGTGGTATCTGACAGTTTTATCCTTATTTTATCCTATTGTACTAGTAGCAAAATATTAACGGCTAAATTTGCTTATAAAATTTGTCAACTGCAAAATTGTTACGGTTCCTACTAAAGCTTGTCGGATGTAGCTAGCGCTAAGAAGAACTGTGGTATATTACATAAATACGTCCATTTCTATTTGTACTAGAAGGACAAAGTTTTCCACTAGTCTTAACAAAATTAGTCGTATATTGTCTGTGCTAAGAAAAATTGTTGAATATTATCACCATTTTGTTACTCCCAGACCTTATTTGCAAAATATGGTACTTGTCCAGTTTCAGAGAGAACAAAGATGATTAAAATATAAAGCATCCTTTTCTGGAGATTTTTGTTGTACAAATTTACTATTATATATTAATAATTTACTATCTGGACAAACGAATGACATGAATGAACTGATAGCCCCCGGTTTTTTTGGGCTAACGTCACAAACCTCAAGCTACCAAGTTCAGTGTATAGTAGCAACAACCTGGACTGATCAAGGACAGCACAGTAATGTCCTATTCTGTTAAGATCAAAAAGCACATGTATTTCAATTTTTATGCGCCCAGCTTGAGTCGAGCTAGGAGTTTTATGTGTATTGTCTAAAAAATTTCAGGGCTTAGTGTAAATTTGATATTCAATTCCCCATTGCCTCTATGATTTATGCTATCAATCTGTAACGCTTCCACTTTTTTCTTAGTGCAATTTTTTGCTTTTTGAATAAAAAACTGATTCTTCGCACATAAAAAAGCTCTCTTGTGAATTTTCGTTATAGTTAGCCGTTTTTGAGATTTTTCGATTTCCAAGGTTCGATGCATTTTCAATTATTTATGGGAAAATATTTTTTTTTACATTTCGATTTGGGCATTACAAGTAATTAAGATGATCGTTTAGATTGTGTTTTTAAAAACTGCAATAATTCCTAACTCCAAATAAACACAAAAAAACAGAATATTAATTTGTTTAATTTTGTGTGCAATAGCACCAATAAACCATTATTATTATTATTAATGAAAAATTCGCCTTCACTTAGTAGCTTTCGGAATGGAGTCATATCCCATGTTTAAAAGTTTTATTTTTGCTGTTTGTATTGATTACAAGTATTATTAATCTGTAATTGTTAGGTTATCCTTTTAGAATAGTATTATTTACAGGGGTTGCATGGAAAAGCAACGGTACTGAATGCCACCTTCCTCATCAAATGAGTTTTTTCTTGTGCGAAATTTTAATCCAATAATAATCAGGCATTATTATTATTTTTCTGACACTTTGTGTTAGTCAGCAGATGTTCTGAGCCTCCGTCTGTGTATGTACGTTCAGTCGATAGAATATTCCTATGAAGTTTCGTATTTCCAGTTAATACATAGAAGCTGACAAAATCGTTTTCTTTCCAGTTCGAAATGGTTACTCGTGCGTACCTGTGGCTTTGGCAGAAGGGCTCGACATCAAGCTTAATGCGGCCGTAAGGAAGGTAGAATATAACCACAGAGGCGTGGAAGTTACAGTTTACAATCCACGGAATCCATCTACTACAAACACATATCATGGTGAGTGATCAAATAGAATATAATCATTTTCAGTAATCTTGCGACACTCTTCCTGTCGGTTGCCCTTGCAATATATTTATAGTCAATTTGGCTTGAGATATCAAAGCAATATACATTTTTGTATCTCGCACTTGAATTGCATGTACGACCTTTCTACAACTGCAAGATCGTAATCTGTTATACATGTTAAAGCAACCAGGCTACGTAAGAGATGTTATGATACACAAGGTATCCCGCAAGTTGAGCTTTTCTTTTCACAAACAACTACGCTATGGAAGAGTTAAAAAAATAAATGACGAAGTTCTCGCCTTTCATTTTCAGAAAAATCTCAAGTACGGCTTTGTCATTTATAAGTACTGTTCGAAGTTGTCACACTTGGTAAAATGTTTCGTAGGAAGTTTATGTGTTGTCGACATTCCTGCAAACTGCATGTACCCCTAGCTCTTTACACAAAGTAAAGAAACCTACGCGAACTGAATTATAACATTAGGGGAAGCGATCTGCATGCACTCGCTAAGCCTCGGTAGCATTCACCATAAATTAAAATCATGTTGACAAGTTTGATATTGCTGAATGAGTGTGCCATTTTTTTTGAGCCGATTGGTAAATTAATCTTTTTTCTACCTACGCTGCTGGTGCCTGGTTTAAGTACTGACGCGCGTCGTGCATTCTCACTCTTGATCTGATCGAGATACAGGAGTGGATTAGGTTTGGTTTAGATTTGAATAATTTTGCCAAAGCCTAATTCGGTTTTTTAAACTTTGGTGTATATGCTGCTAGGAAAAACCGCTTGTTTTAAAAAACATATCACATGCTCTTTTCATACTTTTGATTTGAGTACCATATCAATGATACCAGACATGTTGCATACGATGTTATTGTCAAGGTATATCGAAAAACTTTGCATTGCCGGACCCATGTTTATAGAAACTTTTTTCATATTTTTATCAACAAATCATTTGACACAATAAAACAACCAATCTTTCAATTTCAATGACTGGTCTTCGACAAATGTCAGCTTTGTATGGAATATTGGGAACAATAAAAAGGGTACGTTCATGGGGACTTGGAAAAAAGTTCACGGACAGCCGTTCAAAATCATTTTCTCGACTTTGATGCTTGAGAGCGAAATCGCACTCAACCAATGCTCATCATAGCCACAAAAAATGTCTCACGTTTCACATCAACTTTTTAATCCGAACCAAC